TTTCCCTGGACTATACAAATTCCACTCTGCCACAAGAGGGTTGGTCTGCCTTTGTTTGTCCATCCTGAACAACTGCAACAAGAAAAAAAAAAACACGCACTAACTCTTGTGTGCCCTGCAAATCAGGACATGAATCTGATGTTCCACAATGTTACTCAAAACACAAGAGCAGCCAACTCTTATGATCTACTATATTCCTCAACTGTCTGCTAACGGAAGTTACACAGTCGACGACACTTTGCTACTAAAGGGAAAACCCTCAAACCTACCTTAGCCTGTAGAATAAACAGGATTGAATTAAAATATTTATAAAAGTTCCACTCTTCTCTACCATTTTCTAGAATGCTACCTACCTGCAAGAGCTGAGCTCAAAGGTTCTGTTGGACTAGGGAAATGCACTCAAAAGCCAAGACAAGCACTGATCAGACCAGTAATGAAGGAAACGCAGCTTCAGAATCAGAACATCCTAACCAGATCTCCCCATATTACAAGGGGATTTTCCAGCTAGTCCCCACCCTTATCTCCCTTAAGCTTTAAGTGAGATAACCCTAACGTCACTCAGCACAGCAGCACTCTGCACCTGCCTCATGGCCAGAGGTGTCTTGGGACATACAGGCAAGACAGGCTGATCATCTTGATTCTTATCAGTATTTCTGTCATCCGCTAAGCTCTTCCTTCAGTTAACCCAGCAACAGGAATATGGGGACAGAGACTGATATAAGAGGTCTATAACCAATTTAATCCCTGCAATGTAATCAACATAAGGAAAGAACTTCTTCAATGAGTTTTTGGTTTCTGACACTTGGGACTTTACTCTCCAGATCCTACCGCATGCTGCCAGTATCAGTGAAGCTACTTCAGGCACTACAGAAACACGAATCAGAACATGGAGTTCACACTTAAGCCACAGAGCAATTCAGAATGCCTCCAAGCTGAGCCAAACAAGCAGAGTCTTCCTGCAGAAATCCACCCAAACCAGGTTAAAAGCATCATAATTCAGCTGTTTTAAAAATGTAAAGGTGAAACCCTCCCAAG